GCACACCTGGTAGCAGAGGCAGAACTCCACGATGACGGAGCCAAGCTCTCCACTCAAAGAAAATGCTCCCAAAGTGAAGCGATACTTGTAAAAATACGTAAAATCCTTCTTGGGTAATGTTATCCGCTTCGCCAGGTCGGGAGCGATAATGTCCAAATCTTGACAGTGGCAGTCTTCCTTCATAGCAGGGATACTGGAAGGACGGATGGAAGAAGGGTATACGCTAACAGCCCACGTACGAGGGTGAGCAAAAGGATATTTCTCTTCAAAATTTTTGGTAGTAATTAGATTTTTTGGGATGATGGTACTCACCGTAGGGGGAGCAGCATCATCATCTTTACCTCTGTTCTTTGAAGAAATAGGGTTTCTGGAAGAAGAGGCCATTTTTTATCATAAGGAAGGTTTTCTCTCAAAAACGAAAGTTAAAGAAAGGTTAAAGACGAAGTATGAGTTGAGTAAAGTAAGTTTGAAAACAATTAGAGTATTGTGAAGTGTAAATGAAGGAAGTTGATGTGTATAAGTAAAGGTATAGGCGGCTAAACTCGTGGCTATAATTACCTTGATAACCGCCAAAAATGATGCTAAATCGTGTGATGACGCGTGTTCAGGGCATTAAATGCGGAGAAACGTGCGTCTAATCAACCGTCAGAAACTTTTCAGAGGGGGTCAGTGATTCCCCGCCAAAGAGGGTGTTTCTACCAACTTCCCGGTGACACAAAGTTATGCCACCGAAAAGCAGGGGGACTATCTGTATAGGGTAAAATATGTTTATATTAAATGATCGCATGAAGAAGTGATACGTGGAGCCGAAGACATAAGAAAGTTGAATCCGAAGGCAACAATCCCGTTTGTTACCAGAGAGAATGATACTCATAAAGATGAAGTAAATGTCTACCACCCGGTAGCATTTAATGAGGAATATTCTGCTGCATTAAGTACACAGAAAAAATAAAACAAAATACATATTTTATATCTGCATTACAATTCTTGCATTATTAAGGATCTGTTTGGAAAGTCACTCAGTAATTGGAATTGGTAATTACTAGGGTAGTAATTACACAGCCTAGTAATTACGATGACCTGTTTCTTTGTCATAACGTAATTACAGTGTAATTACAAGCGTGATGTTTGGTTGCGCAAGTGTAATTACACAATTAGATTAAATTTTAAATTAAGTAATTATCGAAACTTAAATAATATTAGATTTGGTATTTAAGATGCATATTTTTTCTTAAATATACACTAATTAGTAATTCTATTTTTATAAATAATATTGTAAAAATAATTGATATATATTTTCTAAATTAATAATATTTAGTTTGATTAATTATAAAAGCTAAAAACATACGTTTTGTAAAAACATCATGGAATGCATGTTTGATAAAATAAATTAATATTTACAAATATAATATCATAACATTATGCGAATGTTTGACAACTAATCTATCAATTCTAACTAAAAAATGAATAGCACGCAATATAAGTCAATACTACTAAAATAAGTAAATTGGAACCATAAATATAACACAATTTTAAAATCCAAAAAAAAAAAACTTTAACATATGTCAAATTCCAACATAATAAAAATAAGTTTCAATACAACTTAAGATTAGGAAACATAATAAGTTTGTAACCTCATTCAACAACGAAATTCTACTTTAATGACATCACTCATTATATGTCAAGTTTGTTAATGACTCATTATTTTTAATATTAGGAGGTGTAGTTTGAAAATATAGAATAATAACGCAGTTACGCTAAATGAAGAAAATAAAATAAATAAGTAATAAAATATACGAGCAATTACATGAAATCACAAGAAGTAATGGTAGAGAAATAAAAAAAATAATGTACAAAGAAAATATATTTTAAAATTTACAAAGAAATTAAAAAGTAAAAAAATAAAAATAAATAAATAATGGAAATAAAAAGTTATAAAAAAGAAAAAGAAAAAGAAAAAAAAAGTCACCTTGTAATTACACAGTGTAATTACCATCAATTCTCACCTCCCCTCGAGAATTGAAGAGTGTAATTACACCTCTCTAATTACATTCAATATCACGTTAACCAAGTAATTACTTGGCTAGACAAACATGCAAAATTGTGTAATTACATTCAATTAAATCCAAATTCAATTATTAGGTGGCTTTCCAAACATACTCTAATTTTTGCATTAGAATCCCTCTGTTACAATCATTGCATAACATGTCTCCGAATAAAACGACATGTCAAGTGTCTTAAATAGGGATTTTCCCTTCCTATACAATATTTGAAACTTCTTTACTAAAATTATCCTAATTTTGTATATTACCCGCCCTAAACAAGGATTACTTACAAATTATATGCATTCCACCTTAAAAGGCTCTCAATCCATTATTAGTGCATTAAATTAGGGGATTCTTTGTTTGGAAAAATGCATAACTAAAGGGAACAATGGTGTTAACCGCGTTTGAGTATTTGATGGTGGCAATAACAACTCCCGTCATCGGAAAAGTGTAGGCCCAAAGTATACAATCCTAGATCGTGCTGAGTTATTGGAATAGCTTGAGTGATTGGCAAGATTGGCTTGAACATCAAGCGGGTTATGAGCCTCGGAACGATAAACTTTGGCTACTAAATACCTGAACCAGTCATAAATTAAATTTGGTATTGAACTCTTTGAAGGTGATTGGCTTTTCCATTGAATGGCTATGTTGAAGCATTGTACTACTGTCCAAAGTTGGATGAAAATCCTCCTCGACGATGTGCAGTAAAGAGCTTTTAGTATTCAGGTGTTTGACTCTCCACCAATGATAGTCATTAAAAAGCTTTGAAGCTTTGAATTCGAATTTGGGTTTTCAAAAATCACTATTTGTTTGAACTGGGTGTTGTTGCAAACAATTGGGAATATTGTTTGGAGTTTATATCTCAATTTTGAGAGTGTTTGGTGAAAATTAGACTTGATTTTGGCTGAATTTCAAATTGAGAAGAACACATGACATACAATATACTTACGAAATTGTAGTAAAATTATATGTAAATTGTATTCTATTGTAGTTCTATATTTTTTTTTATTTGAATGTTACATGAAAGTTGAAAAATAGTTGTATAATGTATGAATCATTGTATAAAATTTGTATTTAAGTTATCAATACAATCTTTTTACATAAAGCTATTGATATGTGTCAAAATTTGTCCAAAGATTTTACTAGATTAATAACTATCGTGCGGGGCTAGTAAAGTATTCTGCTTCACTTGATTGGTTAACTTACCCAATACACTAATCTATCACAAATTAACGAAACCTATTTAAATCAGCACTAAAATGGATACATCGTACTTACAATTAATACTATGCAATTTGATAGTACAACAACATACAAATTTAAAAATAAATTCCGTACAAATTTAATACAAATTGATATATCTACAATAACATACATACTAAAAATACATTTCATACAACTAATTATATAATATACACTTGCTTACAACTTATCTACAACTTTCATACATTATTTTTATCCAGTTAAAATACATCATACAATTTTCATACAAAATTTATACAATGTCTTTTTGTATATTCTGTATCTGATTTGTATATATTTTGTATGTGGTGTGTGTGTTTTCCTCTCTAAAATTTCAATCAAAACTCTCTTTATAAAATTTTGATACATATCAATAACTTTATGTAAAAAGATTATATTGATAACTTAAATACAAATTTTATACAACGATTCATACATTATACAACTATTTTTCAACTTTCATACAACATTCAAATAAATAAATTAATATATATATATATATATATATATACTAGAACTTTACATACAATTATACTAGAACTTTACTACAATTTCGTAAGTATATTATATGTCATGTGTTCTTCTTCTTCAAATTTCAATTTGAAATTCAGCCAAAATCAAGTCTAATCTTCACCAAACACCCTCAAAATTGAGATATAAACTCCAAACAATATTCTCATTTGTTTGCAACAACACCCAATCCAAACAAATAATGGTTTTTGAAAACCCAAATTCGAATTCAAAGCTTCAAAGCTTTTTAAAGGCTGTCAATGGTGGAGAGTCAAACACTTTCAAAATTTATTGATTGACAATTTCAATTTGAACACCAATTGTGCACCATAAAAGAAAATTGCTAAGTTAAAATTCTATAGTAAAACGATTGAAATCCATTGATAAATTCCATTAAAAATATATACAACATGAAAGGATAAAAAATAGAAGACATCAGAGGAAGAAAAATTGGGGAGAGAGAGAGAGACGGAGAGAGAGAAAACGCATGAGGGAGAGAAAAAGGATGGGAAATAATTAATTTCTCATTCAATTCCTAATATAAAGGAATACTCATTTAATTCATAAAGTGTATATAATTGGTAAATTGTATATGTCTATGTAATTAAATTGAAACTTGAATAGGGAGGGTAATAAAGTTTCAAATAATGTATAGGAAGGTAAAAATCCCTCTTAAATAAGCCGTTGTCAAATAAATAGTGAATACAGTAGCTATTAACTTAAGGGCCCATTTGGCCATTAAAAAATCACTTTTTTATTTTTTTATTTTACTTTTTTCCGGAATCACCGTTAGGCAAAAAAAATCAAATTTCACTTAAAGTTGGATTTTCGAATTTTTCGGAATTTGAGTTTCAAGAAAATATTGTTCAAAATTTTCACTTCAAATCACTCGCAAAAATTTAAAAATATCTCCAAATTGTATTCATGCCCAAACACAACTCTAATTTTCAAATACCATATTCACTTCTTTTTTTTTTAACTTTTTTCCGAAATTTCACAATTCTTCCGCCCAAACGCCCACTTAGTCTACTCGGTTCCCCTTATGAACATTTTTCTTGGAACTCTTAACTACTAGACAACCAAGCCTGCAAAATGCACCAGAACTTGTCTCATAGGCTAGACTTCGGCAATAGATTGGAAATTTTATGAGTTTGCTTCAGAACTACCTAAAGAGGTTTACCCAAAAATTAAAGGGAAGAAAAATAAAAAAGGAAACAACATTGCCTTATAAGAATGCTCCAGGATAGGTTCTGAGATACACGGATATATTTCTTCTTCTTTTATGAAAGAAGATACGTGGAATTTGATAGAACATAATGCATTCACACAAATATTAAATCCAAGGATGGATATCCCTACCTAAGTCAAACAATGTCAAATGTGAAAGTAGCAACATGCCTACTACACAATATCTATAGAGATTAGGCAGAGGACAATCACTACATGCTCATTTCTGAAACACAGATAAGGTAAATATGGACATACTCACCTTTTTAGAACATTGGCTCCAGTCGATTGGAGTTGTATTATCTACTTTGGACCAATGACAATGGCAATCACCATCAGTTCGGCTGCAGTAAGCCTTACTTTTGCCTCATTGATTAATTTAAAGGCATGCATAATGTTACTGCCCGAGTAGCAATTGAAATCCACTTCGCACGAGACTAAGTTGCTACTCTTATGATGCATTGCCACAAATTAAAGCAATTCAACAAGGACTAGGAGGGACAATAACCACTTTCAACGCCTATGATCCACTGACCTGGCTTTCTACTTGGTACACTCCATTTGGAACGAGCATAGATTCTTCGAGAAATTTCTGTAGTACAGATACATAAATGTCTGGGAAAGTCCGGTAATGGTCTACATGGGGAGATGAGCGAAAGTTGAAAGAGTGAACCTTTCTCCCACTTTTTCTCTGCTCTTCAATAAAAGACTCAACCGACTGAATCGGAATGACCTTGTCAGCAGAACTGTAAAGATAAAGCTGCGGGCAAGAAGGCTGGTTCTTGACAAGGGCAGAAATTATCTTCCTCAGCCGCCTTTGCATTGGAGACAACCAATAATTAAAAGCAGCTAAATTTTATTTTTGTACCTTCTAATCAAAAGCTAAATACCGCGAGCAAAGAATAACAAAAACATGTTGAAGTACTTACGCATTAACATCAGGCAAATTAAGAAGAAATGAGAAAAGCTTCTCAAATGCTGCTAAAAGCAAGGTTTCCATCAACATGGGTTCTTTCCCTTGAATGTTTCCTGAGGTTAACCCACTTTGCACTTCAATTCCTTCACCAGCTTCCACTGAAGGATATACAGAAGAGCTACGCTTCTGCAGCAGGGCTGTAGTAAATCCTGCTGCCCAGACCTGCCGGCGTTTAAGATTGAATTTCCATACGACATTCCATTTTACTCAATTTTGTAGAAACAGAATCAACAGTATACAACAAAACAGAAAATAATGTGGCACATTTTCTTATTAAGGAGGAACGAAAAAGCGCACCAAGAGACCAAAAATCTTCCAAAATGGCAAACGGAATCCCCCC